TATAAAACTTTATCAGACTAGTCAGAACCGAACATAAAGCAACTGTGCTTATCTATAGTTAGTGTATATATACATGTTATTAGAAGTTAAGTAGACATAATAAAAAGATGCAAGAACAGTGACAGATAATATATGCAAGTAGCTTAAATTAGTTAAAATTGCCAAATCATTTGATAATGAATTCACTTCCACATCCATTTCACTACTTATTCCATCATCAAAGTTTTCTCTCAGGTCACAATAACTAGATTCTTGGATTGAATTGGAAAATTCTCTAGAGATTTCTGGTTTATTATTATTCACATTAAAAGGACTTGATTCATGGTTATTCAGATGGCACTCAAAATTCAAATCATCTCTCTGCTGTTTTGAACCAGAGCACTCATTATTACATGCTGAATTGTTAGATGAAGAATGTGACAACCGTTTCTTATTGGAGTTAGCATAACTTCGAAACTCATCATTACTGTCAGTAGAAAGTTTCAATATATCTTCATCAATAATACGTCTTTTTTGACGAATGGACAAATCATTGAAGTTCCTTTTAGAAGAATTCATGTTGAATTGTTATTACTGTTTCGAAGAAATGCAATGCACCCAGTTTGGAAATGTGAATTCAAACGAAATTGGTGAAATATGTTAGGTTATGAAAATAGTCAGCTGTCGGTAACCCTCGATTTTTAACAACAAAAATAGGAATGAATATATGAATGAAAGTTACTCACTCACCTTTTCTTCTTACAACAAAAGCAACACTATTTGAATAAAATATAATACTTATCATACAATGCAAAAAAACAACACAACTGTTCAACTACAAAACCATAATCCAGTAACATAACATTGTTCCTTCGCTGATACCCAACAGATATGTAACTGAGAGGTGTGTTCACTGGGAATATGGAACCCTTTTGGCCGCCTAGATCTCCTGATATAACCCCACTAGATTTCTTCTTGTGGGGTTACCTAAAACAAAAGGTGTTTAAGCAAAGACCTTTTCGAGATATAAACCATTTAGAGGCAGTTATTCGAGAATGTGTTGTAAGCACGAAACCCCGTAGTATAAAGAATGTAGTTAAAGATATTTTAAAAAGGACAACTGATTGCATTGAACGTGGTGGAAGGCACACCGAAATGTGACTTTTTATTTTGTATTTCTATTGGTATTTACATTGTTTAGGCATATGTTTCGATTTGATTTAGTGTTCTTAATTTAAATTATAACTTTATTTTAACAGATGTTTGTTCGTTAGAAATGACAAATACCTAAAGCAAACAACCAGACGGTCTGGTTCAAATCTACTTTCGCATCACATACTTTTCACGAGAGGCAAAGGGCCTCACAAAGACCTGCCGCCCGGAGCCTCGCAATGGGTAAGGCCGCCGCTGTTGGCCACAACAGAACGGAGAAGTCGAAAGAGAAAATCGAGATATCCTCGAACAAATGAAAATTTGTCAGTCTCTTAAAAGAGACTGGCAACGAGATCTACCGGACTACCTGAAAATGTATAACAGAACGCCTCATCCCGTAACTGGGAAAAGTCCTTCTGAACTGTTTTTTCGCAGACAATTTCGTGATAAAATCGCCACTATATTAGATACAGAATATGAAACTTTTGATGCTGAGGTGAATGATAGGTTTAAGGAAATTAAAGAGGTTGGCAAAGAATATGCAGACAGAAAAGGAAAAGCAGAAGATTGTCGCTTGGAAGAGGGAGATAAACTTTTGTTGAAAAATAGTATTACAGAAAATGAATTGACCGTTAATTTCAATCCTGTTCCACAAACAGTTATCAATAAGAAATTGTGTGATATACATGCACAAAACAGTGAAACAGGCGATGTATTGCGAAGAAACATTGTTCATTTGAAAAAAATCGAGGGACAATGGAAGGTTTGCAAAGAGAACGATAATGAGAGTTAAATGAATACCTGTATAGTGAATGGAAGCTTTCAAAATTAATAATTTTTCCCAAGTTTATGATAATTCTATATTATCTATTAACCATCATTAGTGATTTGTTTTTACAAACTACTGGATATAATGTACTAACATATTTATAATATTAGGTTTTCATTACTTTCGTATTTTGTAAAATATATTTGAATATTTCAGTATGTATTATAACTATTACTATTATCATCATATTCATTATTATCATCGTTATTACAAATTACTGGAAGAAGGAGAGATGCAGTGTACTGAAATATTGTGAGAATAACAATAACGGCAGTGAGAAATAAATTCACGTTTATAAACAATATGAGATTGTATAACGCTGACTCAGTTCCCTTTGTTGGGGATGATTCAAGATTTCATTCGTTATAGAATAACATGAGAGAGTGGACGTGGGAAATAAATGAGAGTATCTGATTTCATAGAGTGATCACCAGAAGATAGTTAAGAGAACTGGAGGGACTGAACACCCTTTATGACTCTGTTCAAACTAGACTATGATAAAATTGTAATATCAATATTTGATATTATTGAATGAAATGATACATATCATTTATATAAAATATTTCAATTATTCACGATGGCATATTTGAAACTACACTTTCTCCCTCTCCCACATACTCTACTTCCTTCTGTTAGTTGGAATCCCATGATTTTGATTGATATCATACTGTGGGTAGGGGTATATGTCACAAAGGAAAGGCTCCAAGTCTGCTTTGATCATCAGCTCACAAAATTGATTCAAATTTGTAGTTTCATACAAATATGTATAACATATTGCCACATCAAGCTCATATTTCTCACTGCGCTCTGAAGGTTTTCGCACCTCGTCAGCATCAAAACAAACACTCAAATCATAATTTGATGAAACTAATAAGTCATCAAAACTCAGATCGACTAACCCCCATGTGGCCCTTCTGATCCAAATTCACTGCTTCCGGACAATCTCCAGCTGCGTAGTGCATCCACATATTTGTAGGAGGAGGAAGAGCTCTCAAAATAGGCAAGTTGCATCCATTAGTTTCGAAGTTATGTTGTGAAAGGAGAAAAGCACTCAGTTGAAATTTCACAAATGAATATGAATAAACCATATTTTCATTATTCACAACGAGATTTGAGACATACCCAATACAGTCAGTCTGAAATATGGAATTCTACTAACCAGTGGATCGTGGCACGAGGATAATCCTGAGAACTTCTACCCATATACAGTGTCACACATAAAGTCCGCATCAAATGGGATTTTTTTTGTTCATCTCTTCAAGCAACTTTTGATATCTCCATTAGGTTGTGCTTTAAAAATGATGCCAAATGACATGCATATGACCGATCAAGTGATTTTTCTTCCCTGTCCAATTTGACATATTCGTTTAAGACGAATGTATGGTGTGGCATATTAAACGATCAAATTATAGGACCATACTTTTTTAGACATAATTTAAATTCTGCAGACTACCTACACTTTGTGAATACCGAACTATCTGCACCTGTTCATACTACAAGGGTGGTTAAAGAGCGTCTTTTGGAAATATTTAGGGGCAAAGTAATCATTCGCAACCCAGTGAACACAAACATATAAATGTTACATAAAATTAACGCTTTTCCAGAGAACACTTCATGTACCTGATATGTAACAGTTTCATCAAAATGTTATATAACAAATATTTTATGTTCTGTATCATCGTCGTATCAACTGCATGTATCTGATACTTAACATTCCAAAATATTATGTAACAGTGTTTCCATCTTCAATCGGGTTTGAAGGCCGTCGTAATTTGGAATTGCATCCTAACATTTCGCCAGCACGAGTGACTGGCTTCTTCAAGAGGTTTATTCATTTTGAAGTTTCACCGATGACTTAAATTTCAAGATGAGTAAACCTCTGAAGAAGCCAGCCACTCGTGCTGGCGAAACGTTAGGATGCAATTCCAAATTACGATGGTTTTCAAACCCGATGGAAGATGAAACACTGAAAATCTCGGCCGCGAAAGCCTCAATCAATTTATTATGTAATATATAATTAAACGAAATCTTCCTGGTAATACTGAGACTGATTAAATTGAGATATTTGTTCATCTTACTAGAAGTACCTAATTACAATTTATTAATATTCTGATAGACTGCAATTCCTTGATTTTAAAATTGTTTCTGTATCCCAACCAGGAACACTGTCTTCCTAAGGCGTTAGTGAAGATTCTCCGCAAAGACCGATTAGTGTGATCTTTGGCATTTCTGCCACTAATGTTCTTGACGAACACAGTCTGAAAGAAATAATAATGTTTTACTTGAAATTTTCGTAAGCTTTTCAAACGTCACAAATACGATCAACAAAACGTGAATGTAGTGGTAAAATGCAACTAAAAAAATATGGTTTTATCACATCTCTCATTCGCAACTTCAAACTCCATGCCTGAAACATCGACTTTTGGTGCATTCTCAGTTAATTCTATTTTGCTCAATCTTTCACTGATGGATCTGACTTCCAGCAGAGTGCCTTTGCAAATACTCAGTATTCTCTTAATATTTTCTGAAACATTTTCATTTTTATATATCATAAAAAAACACATGGTTTCATTTGAATACAATACCACAAAGAAATTTCTCAACCTACTTACCACTCATTCTTGAAATTTCTTCTGTCTGCGAAATATTTTTTTTTGATATCAAAGTTATATCCTCATTATCCTCACCAGAATTTTGGGTAGTATCGCTTGATATAAAATGTTCTGAAATGATTGAGAAATGAATATGTATTACTTTCAGTAGTACAAGATATTCACCTGAATTCGAACTTTCATGGTCTGAATGTTGACTATTATCTTGTCCAGCCTGCCTTCTCAATTTCAGTTGACTTGCAATAGAGATTCTTGAGTCGGGGAAATTCAAGTAAAAACATCCAATGGAATGATTGAGTTTTTTTTGGATTAGAAAAACAGAAATTTCATCTCTTACCGCTTGTTTGTTTCGACGAGGAGTAATTTTCTCTACTTGGTATTATTTTCGGAACAGGTGGTGGTGTATGAACTAAAAATACAGACATCAGTTGTCATATTCTTCAATTGAAATAACTCAAACATAGAGAAAATAAACTCATTCTTTTCTTAAAACCATATATATTATTTCCTCTCACCACTTGTTCGGTGAATCAATGGGTAGGTTTCTATGCTTGGTGTTTTTTTCAGAGCAGGTGGTGGTGTGTGAAATGAACTAGATACTTTTATAAAGTAAGTAATAACCTTCATTTTCCTCATCCGAAGAACTGCTAAAATTTTTTGGCCTTTTTATTCTCTTTCCACGTCCTTTATTTGAGCTTTCGTCAGATGTAGTGTAATATTCAGAATCAACAGCTTTTTTTCTAGCACTCTCTAATGAAGCTGCAATAATGAAACATAATAGAAGGGTCAGACTTATGAAAAGACTTGATAATTGAAAAAATTGAAGTTTCAATTTTTCATAACAAAAACTTACAGCTGAAAGCAATCATTTCTATGGAATGTTTTTCCCAGTCAGATGTAGTGTAATATTCACAATCAACAGCTTTTTTTCTAGCACTCTCTAATGAAACTGCAATAATGAAACATAATAGAAGGGTCAGACTGATGAAAATACTTGATAATTGAAAAAATTGAAGTTTCAATTTTTCATAACAAAAACTTACAGCTGAAAGCAATCATTTCTATGGAATGTTTTTCCCAGTTTTCCTTATCTGGAGGCGAATTTCTTGCCATAAGGTTTGCCACATTCTTTGTTTTTGGCCACAACATTCTTTTCTGCCTGGACATATCCAAGATAGAGGAATCTCAGAAAATGACTCATCCACTGAGAATCTTATCACAGCATATTCTCCCATTTCAATAAAAATATTTCTGGATGCATGTAAGTCCTGGAATTTTCAAAGTGAGATATATAGTGTTAATAATTTTTTTTTTCTTACCTTCAGCTGCCCTCACGAAAATGTTAAGAACAAAATATCAATTTCATTTCAATGCGTTCAATGCTTGGGGCTGTTTTGCATTGCACTCTTCAATTTTTTTTAAAATAAAACATTATTAGTTGAAACTAATTCAAATAAAACGAAAAGGTAACTTCAGTTTTTTTTTATTCTTTGCTTTGACATTACAAATCTTTCAACTGAGAAGATGTNAACCAGGCAAGCTTGTTGTATATTTTCGCTCCTGAATGTATAAAATTTTATTCTTAATAAATATAGTTTGAACTACAACAATATTATTGTCAACTAAACAACAGTTATTGAATGCCTTTCTAGTTATACAAAAATTTTTGAATTGAATAAAATCAATATCTTCATTCTTGTAATGAATTATAGGAAATTTTTGATTTTCAAATTGTACAGGCAATTTATTCTGTTCAGTTATTCTATTTACAATTTGATGCAGTGGTCTGGAAGAACTTTTCAATTTGGACTTCAACTTATACATGAAATTTCCGTATTTAAATGCGCTGAATAACAGTTCGTTTCACTGAAGAACATCTGTCAATGACTAATGGTGACAATGTTTTTTTTATTCTTACATCCATTCTACCTCTCGCCCAAAATATTAACAATCGTTTCATAACTCCCAAACATATCAGGTGCATATAGTCCAAAGGTACTTGCGAAACCATGCCTATATTTAGATTTTCCAAATCTGATGTTCAGGTTGACTTCGATTTTTAAAAGACTGATCAGTTCGAAGAGTAGCACTAACTTCTGGAAACACCACTCGATTTTCAAGAAAATTACC